ATTCAGAAATCGTGAGATGCGGTACACTCAGAAGGGAATAGAAATACTTTGATTAAATATTAAAAACATATATTTTTTTTGTATTGCATTAATTAACTTTTTTCCACATACTACATGTATTTGTTAAATTTAAACAATGTTTGTAAATCCCAGATCCTGAACATGATCTCACTAAAGATCGAAACGTTGGCATGATAAAGAAAAGGTTTTACTGAAACCTACATCACACCAGACCGCATCTCACGATTTCCGAATAATAAATTTTGTTGCTAAAAAAAGTTCTACGAATATGTAATCTTCTATTAACCTAATATTACAACAATAATTGTTTATATCATGCACGCTAGTCTATAGTTTTGAAGGACATTAAACATTCAATTAATTGAATTGATTAAAGAAAGTGTAAATGAACATTTATTGTCACAATCGGGAGTTGAACACACGCCATTCGGATAAATACGATGTTTGACCAGTGGACCATCGTGATGTTCTGTTCCAATTGATTTACGTATATAGTAGCTTTTAATTTTTCCGCAATTTTGCGCGTGGCAACTGGTATAACTAAAAATAAAGCTATAACAGTCTTTGAAGATTTGTTGTTTTGGTTTTCTTTTATGTTAAATTGTAAGAATCCAAAAGTTAGTAAAAAAGTAAAATTAATCAACTCTTTGATTCAAACTGCTATCACGCACTTGAAAAGTACAAATGACTCACTTCAATTCGTGCCGGTATATTTAGCTTGTATCTTAACATCTAACAGCCTACAAGTGTACACGATAGGTGATGTATCTATTATGAGCGAGAGTGTAAAGACAGGTCAGAAATTAACAAAAGAAATGTATTTGTATGATCTAATAATGCTAATTTAAGAATAAAATTTCGTGTAAACAAGAAACAGCTGTTAAAGTCATGGCTGCCATGCTTGTTACCTACGCCCTAACGGATAGCAATGTGACTACAATCTTTGATTTAACTTCTCTACATTGGCCCTGGACTGTTAGAACGAGCAATGTTAACTAGCCGATTCTTACAAACCTACGTCATCATTTTTCTTGATCTGACACGACCTAAGAGTTAAAATGGTTAATATAACTATCATGAATAGCCCTAATGTGAGAAGTTTAGGGGCCGACAAACAGTAGTCACTGCTAAGTTTTTTACTTCTTTTTCTCGTCTTTCACCCGCATTTTTCGACCTGCAGCCATTTGATCGTCTCGATCTGTTACTGATTCTTTTAAATGATGCTAGCCTCTCGCTTATACCTCAGGTTGTGAACTACAGAAAATACTTAAAACAAGAAATACAAATACACATTTGTCAGGCCAAATTCACATTTCCAGAGTACTCGGTATTCCTATGTGGGGGGTCAACCTTATCCATTCTAGCTAAAAACTTCTTTTTATTCTACAGATGTCATACACTCACCTCCAGATTATTTAAGATTCCTCGGATGAGGTTAAGAAAAAACTTTTAAAAGCCTTTCTCCGCTCCGTTCTATCGAGACAGTGTTTTGATTCCATTGACGAAATCTTAAATTTTAAATTTGTAATACATTATGTATATTTGTGTATTGTTATTTTTTTATTTGTTTTATTTATTTATGTTTTTTTCCGGGCGGCTAACTGCTACGGTCATTGCCGGCACCACGCGTATATCTTTCTCACATTTTGAAAAATCTGCACTTTCTACTGATAATTTCATTCTAACCTCGGACCTTACGATTTTTGTTGCATTTCTCTTTGTATCCCTCCACATGTGGTACATTGAGGTATTTGACCATTTACATACATACACACATTCATAATACACATTTATACTAATAAACCTAGTTTCCTAATATTACAACTAAAGTGGAGGTCGGTAAGATGGTTATAATCCTGCCGACCTCCTTCCATTCTTGCGAATAAATACATTCAAACGGTATGTACAAATTCCACTCGTCCATAAAACTACGCCTACCAGTCTTACGTATTTGCTTTCGGTTTTAGGTATCTTGCAATGGCACCTTATAATGACCGTGATTATAAAGCTTCTGAGTTTTCTGAGTAATATGACCAAATTTCTTTTATTTCGTGAATCTGAAATTTTCGTGTACTGAAATATTTGTCCGTCCATGTTCACATTGAAAAAATCAGTATTGCCCTTCCCTTTACATGTAAGATATATACCCAATAATCTACGATGTATAACCAATATTCTATCTATCATTAATATGCTTTGTAACCCTCACAGCCTCTTCGTCGTAATTAACCCAAAAGAAAAGACTTTTCAAGTTCAATTTAAAATGCAACGGCACTTATTTTGCTGGAACAACTTAGCACATGTCTCTTGGTAATCGCAGGATTTACGTAGAAAAGAACGTTACAAAACATAAAATACGATTTGTACGAATCCTGTTAAATTGGCAACTTTAAGCCGGGAACACTAACCCGATGCAATGCTATGCAACGCTACCCGACTCAAATGCAAAGTCGAATTTTCCATAAGATTGTTTATGCACATCTGCCCGATGCTACCAACGCTACCCTCTGCGATCCCCACTGTCCAGATTTTCGTCAGGTAGCATCGAGTACAGTCGAAGGCAAAAGAATTGGACACTCATAATTTTATTCAAACTACATGTTTTATTGTCGTTAAATTAATTACAACATACATTTTTTAATATAATCAAATTAACCGAGATCAAAAATTCATTAGTTTTTATTTAAAAAAAAAAAAAATTTTAATGGTTTGGTACAAAATTGATCAAAACACCTTCATTTTTTCATATAATGAATTTAAATAACAATTTATTAAATGGTTTTGCTCATAAAATTTAACTGACAATTTATTTCAAGGTTTAGCTCAATTACACCATTTTCGTCGCGTAACGTCAAAACAGGACTCATATTTTTTGTAGTTTGTTTCAAACTATGTATATGTAATTTTGTCGTTAAACTAATTACAACATTCTTATTTTAATATAAACCAAATTAAACGAGATCAAAAATTCATGCGTTTTTATACAAAAATATTTAATTAAGATGGTTAGATGAAAATGTATTAAAACACCGGAATAACATTATTTAAAATAATTAAATTTAACTAACAATTTATTACATGGTTGTGCTCATAAAATTTAAGTAACGATTTATTACATGGTTTTTCTCAAAATAATGCATTAAGAACAAAAGAGGTGATTGTGATACTGATTTGTGATACACTCTATGGGACTGTACGTGGCGTGCGTTTGACTTCGCATAGATGTGGTCACCCTACCAAAACGTGACAAGGCGTCGGGTAGCATCGGGTAGCGTCGCAAAGCGTTGCATCGGGTCTGTTCCCGGCTTTAAGGTTAAGGAAAAAATCAACGTTTTATTCTAAAACCCAATCATATTTTCTTGAACAACAACATTTAAATAAAAACGTGAATTTAAAACTGTTTCAATTTTTATTATTAAAAGCTCGTTTGAAATGTTAAATAATTAACAATAATGTTCTACTTTATTCTACTTCAATTTATCTGCATTAGCGGTTAAAAAGACACTTTTTTCTTGTTTGATTTTTTCAGTTTTTATTGCAGAATATTCGTAAATTGAAGTGGATTTTCAATAAAAACCATAACAGCAATTAAAATTAATTATGTTGAACATCATTATCGTGCAGGTAGTAATAAAATATAAAAAATTGTACAATATATAAATATTTATTCATCGAACACAATACGATCAAAGGAGAAAAACATCCTCTTTTTAGACGTATTTCATGTTAAATATTAAAATTAAATTTTATATGATTGATAATAACGTTATAACTCGAGTTTGCGTTTTATTAAAACAAACGTTTACGTCAATTTCAACCTGGTCGATGCTATTTACAATCCCACCGCAAAACGCCCCATCATTGCATCGGGTAAGTGTGTTCCCGTATTAAGCCTTCAGTATGTCTATGTGATTTGTGAGAATTCAAGTCCCTTTTAATTACCCATGAATGGTAGCGTGCGTCCGATTTATCTTTGTTTGTTAGTGCTTTTGGGGTTTAAGATATCATATTTTTATTGTTATTTATTTTGTTTGATGTAATTGAGTTTTCTTTTGCAGTGCATTTTAAAATTGTACGTCATAAGGTCAAATTTGTTTATTTGAAATTTAGAATATAAGGAACGTTCATTATAAAACTATTAGCAGACAGAAGGAAACGTGAAATTGCTGGTTATAAATTCGTGGTCTCCATGGGCGAAAACACAAAAAAATCCTCTTTATATTAGTTTAAAAAAAGGCAAGTTTCATACAAAGGATACTTAATATGAAGAAGGTTTACGTCCTAAGAGGGCATCACTGTATAAAGAATGGACGCGAAATTGGAAGAAGCCAGGGGGTCGGAAGCTCACATGTATTACTTAGCATCAGTAACTCACAAGTTTATACAGGCAATAACGCCCTTTTACTGCGGCACATAACAATATAGCCGGATACTTTGGAGTCTGACTGGAAAAGGAACGTGGCGAGTGGAGTAATGGCATGTTCAAAAGGGGTGGAACTCCCGGCTACACCTCCAGATGTTGAATGAAACACAAAAGCCTCCTCCGAAACGGAGACACATAAATATTTCATTTCCTCTATCCTTTTCCATTTCTCAATAACCCTGACGTCTTGCTACTAACACCTTCCTCCTTATTTACCTCTGTCAAATACGCCTCGAAAGTATTTTCTTTCAGAATTTGGGCCATGGTATAACATTGTATGCAGAAATATTTAACATAACGACTCTTATCATCGTATAATTATGCATTTATGATTTATCAGAACATAGATTTTGAGTTAGATTACTTTTAAGTTGGTGTCCGAATGGGTCGAAGTCACAATAGCTCAAGAGGTAGAGCAGCGGCGTATTTAGCCGAAGGTCGTGAGTTCGAATCCCGCTCGTCACACTACCTTTTTAATTTCAACCAACACCTTACATAAAGATTAATTAATTGAAAGAAGAAATTTGATATTTAATGGATTATTTTGAAGACTCACCTGCACGTTGCTCCGTTTTTGCAGACGTCAGTCATAGGAAGACATAGAGGCCCTTTTTCACACGAGGTACCGCTGAAACCGTGAAAACAAGAGCACCAGTATTCTCTGGAAAAAAAGACAATCATTTTTAGGGTATTTTGTTGTATGTATGTAAGTAATGTACTAAATAATTCTAAAAATCTATATATTAAAGTAAAACCGTTATCGTTATATGAGTAAAATAAAAATAGTTATCTAAAACTACTAAAATTACCACGCTATTTTTTTAAATTGTTTAAAACATTTTGTGTAGGAGAATAATAATTACAGGAATGGAACACTGATATATTAGTTGAGGTAATGTAATAAAAAGTTATATTGTAAAATTTGTAATCTCTCAACACGTAATGAAAACAAAACATGATAATAACAATTGTGAATACACAAAAATCATGACTAAAAAAACAACCGAATAAATTGAATTTTGTTAGAAACTGTTTTCATAAACTCTTTGAACAACATTATATTTCGAAGAGACTGGGATAAGATTTGAGCCCAAGAGAAAAATTTAATAATTTGGTTTAAAAAAAATTTTTTTTAGATCATAATAAGGAAAAAAATTAATTGGCTAAAACTTTTATTTTTTGAGTAAATGCCTTGCGAATTTTCATAAAAGTGATGTCTTTTTATTTTTAATATACTTATTTTGTTGTAAAAATAAGTATTGTTCCAGTGGTAATTTTTCACCTAGCGCTACGCGTCAAGCCAACCGGGGAATTTTTTTAAAAATCGAACGCTCGATTTTTTAGAAATTTGGCTAAGCCTTTCCACTCTAAAAAATTATACCAATAACTCAAAAATTCATGGATGTCATATAAGTTAAATGTTTGTTTTCAATTTGTCATTTTGGTGTGAGTCAAGTAAAAGTTTTAATTATTTATAACCCATCACAGTTCGTGGTCCGATTGAGCAATTAACGTTTTCAATTAATTAATCTTTATGAAAGGTATTGGTTGAGATAAAAAAGTCAGTGTCACGAGCGGGACTCGAACCCACGACCTTCGGCTAAATACGCCGCTGCTCTACCACTTGAGCTATCGTGACTCATGTGCTCGAATCCCGCTCGTGGCACTGACTTTTTTATCTCAACCAATACATTTCATAAAGATTAATTATTTATAACGTTAGTTTCTTGACTTTTCAGCCTTGTAGGAAGATTCCAAATTAGTCGTTTATCCATTCATCCAACTTCCAAGATAAGGCCCCAGGAAAAAGACAGTGGTAGGCAATGGGTTTCCACTCACTGGAGGACAGATACTTTTACACAGGGTATAATTTATCTGTACGCTTTCCATTAGGTTTATGTCCATTCTCCACTTTTTGAACTATCCTGGAAATTCATTCAGGTGTCGTAAGTGTCGAGTGTTTATGGCCGGATCCAAATTACGTGTATATTGAAAATTATAATGACCCAAGTATACTTCCATGAGGAACACCCAGCCCTAACGAGTAGATGAGATGACAATTCAGTTCCTTGAATTTTGATTCGCCAAAATCGGTCAGAAATGATCGAAGTATGGTTAGTACGCATGAGGGAGGATGTTTATCCAGTGGAGAATTTTAAAAAATGCAATATAATATAATCTACGCTTCCAATATTGTTGATTTAACTAAAGTAATTATAGATGTTTCTAAATCGATAATCTGTATTAGTTTAAATAATAGCTAATTAATTTTCGAAAGAAAAAAACAGAAGTATCTAAAAAAGTTATCTGTGATTTCAAGGTTTACGTCAAGCATAAAGTCAGATTATTTAAAAAAAATATATATATTTTGCATTGTATAAATTCACTTTTCCACATCCATAAATGTAATTGTTATATGTAAACAATGGTTGTAAATCCCAGGCCCTGAAGATGATCTCAATAAAGATCGAAACGTTGGCACGATAAAGAAAATGTTTTTCTCAAAACCTACATCACACCAGACCGCATCTCACGATTTCTAAATAAATATCGATTAACGGTCACTAATCGCCACACATTATTTAAAGTTTCACAACAGAATTTTATTGTCATCTTTGAGTAAGGCGTGAACATCAAAAAAATATCAATGTCAATTTTGAGCTTTGTCAGTAATAAAAACGCGCCCCGAAATGCAAAGCCAGAAAGAAACAAAGTAACTGGTTGGAGAACTTCTTGAATGACCTAAATTTGTATTGAATATTTTACCTAGTTAAACGGTACTTCTTCAAATGTACAATAAAAGTAAATATGTACGAGAATAATAACAAATAGCAAAAAAAAATCAGGCTAATCAAAACCGGAAGTAGCTACATAGTTCGCTTAATAAAAAATCAACTTCACTTCGCAAGCTTTGGACCGTTTTTGCCTTGGGCAAGTTTTAGGGACAAAACAAGGCTTTGAGGCTTCCAGAGAGCTGAGATTCAGAAAGGGTTTGGATGTTTTGCTTAGTGAGGGATTTCTCGACAAATGCGAATTATCAACCATCATCTAATCACTGCTTTTTAAGCGAGGGGAGGTCATTAAACCATCCCCCTTACAACAAACTTGCTAAGTCATTCATCGGATACCGCTTTGATTTGGGGGCATTCAAATTAGATTACAAGGATAAATTTAAATTGAGTATGTTGAAGAAGCTAGTTTAACGCTAGGCTTCTAACTTCAATAGATCTTGATAAATCTGTGCCAATATTTATAACCTGGTCCAATGTACTTTGCTTTCTCGCCACTCGACAAATTGTTTGTCCTACTTAAAAAATTTTCAACAGAGAATTGTTGATGTGCAAAACGTTCCGCAATCGCAAACAGATAAGGTTACCAGTTAGTTATTCGTAACTACCACTTAACCTAACGTGACTTTTTATCTCAACCAATACCTTACATATAGATTAATTAATTGGAAGAGGTTATTTGGTCCATCTGACCACGAAATTTAATGGATTTAATAAACAAAACTTCACTAAAGTTTTCCGTGTCCATTTTATTACTCGCCGACAACTGAATAGATTTGACATTCGAAAAATGGCAAAAAGGAGGGAAAATTCAAAAGGTACGTTGAGATAGAAGATAGGTGTCCGAGTGGATCGAACTCACTATAGCTCAAGAGGTAGAGCAGCGGCGTATTTAGCCGAAGGTCGTGGGTTCGAATCCCGCTCGTGACACTGACTTTTTTTATATCAACCAATATCTTACATAAAGATTAATTAATTGAAAGATGTTTTTTGGTCACTCGGACCACGAATGAATATATAAAATATTGTTAATCTTAAGATTTTTAAGTAGCATTGTTTTAATGTTTAAATATCGGTAAAGCAGCAATGAAAGAATATAAGAATGAGAAGATTTAAAGATTCCAGACTCAGATTTTGCTTTCCTGCTTAACAAGAGAGCAAACCCTGCTTTCTCAATGTTGACTGTCATGGCCGACCAAACACAACTTTTTTAATTCGTCCCGGCGAGCTTTGAAAGTAGTGTTCGCCTGTATTTGACAATGATGAGGATCTTTGAGAGTTCCCAGCCAGTTGAAGAGGGGAGTTCCGTTGTAAACCTCTCAAATGAGCCAGCCAACGAAGAGGAAATCTTCTTGTTCAGTTGTCGTACTTAATCAGCAAAGAACAATGAATTGCGGTGGCGTCGGTTCATCCGTTGAAGTACTAGAGGAACAATTAATTTGCTCAAACACCGCAAGGCATCTCAAATAAAGCCGGCTAATTTAGCCGAATTAGTATATTTTCTATTTCTTAAAACCTAAATTTATGCTTTATTTATGCATAAATTATCATGTTTTTATTGCAAAACAGCAGACGTAAGTTTTTAATTTAAAAAGTGTTTAAAAAATTGTAACCTTTTAAGTAACCTGGCTGGTTTTAAGTTGGCAGTGTTAATTGATCCACCAGTGGATTAACTCGAAGTGTTCTGATTGATACCGATCACTTTACTGGTCCGCCTATTATTGATCTTAACTTTCCCTCTTTTTTTAATGACGACTGTAATTAGAATCGTAAACGCTTAGAAGAGAGGATAGATCGACTCGAGTTCGTCCACCCGTAAGCCAATTTTACCTATAACCTAAAGAAAATCAATTCAAATCGATCTATTCTAACTGAGGCGAAAGTAATTCCAGTTTCGTCCCAAGGCCCTTGTAGGAAGGTGGAAGTATTCCGGGATTAAAAATTAATAGCAGCGACAGTAGGCCGACGCAGGCACCATGCTCCACGAAGCGTAACTAACGTCTAACGATCTCGGTCATTGTCTTGTTCCCTTACTATCACCATCAGTCAACGATATATTCATATGTATAATTAGATAATAAAAAATTAGTCCTGAAGAAGGAGGTACATTCTGGAATAGCTTGGGAAGGAACGTTATTTTATTTTTCTTATTTTTGTCAGCCTTGATAGTTTTTTAATATAAATAATAATGAAGACTGAAAATGAGTTATATCGAACGTAGACTAACATCAGTAAAAAATTATATTAAGATTATTTGGAGATCGTTAGGTGCGATCTGATGTGACGTCGTTTTTAGAAAAACATTTTCTTTATCATGCTAATGTTTCGGTCTTTATTGAGGTCATCTTCAGAGCCTGGGGTTTAGGAACATTGTTTAAATTTTACAAATATATGTAGGATGTGAAAAAAATGAATTTATACAATGCTAAAAAATTTATATTCATTCGAAGTATTTGTACTCATTCAAAATGTTTGTTTTCTGCGTAATTATGTCATTTTTGTGTGTCGTGGTGAGAGTAAATGAATGTAAAACAATATTTTTATTTAAATTTGTTGAAGTCGTGATGAGAGGTCAAGAATGAGGTAGGCGATGTTTTAATCTGATCATACATGTCAAAACTTCGGCAAAAAATGAAAAAGGTGTTTTTTTACCTATCTCATTCATGGCCTCTCCTCACGACTTCAACAAATTATGAAACAACAGATCACTAAGAAACACACATTTAAATACGCACTACATGAATTCCTCGAGCGTTTGCTTTGCCTGTTCAACTGCTTTTACGATACTTCTTGCGTACCATACTTTTTCAAACATGTTGACGGTTGTCTAATTACAAAAGAATTTCTTGCATCAATAGCGAAACTAATTTTT